CCCATCAAAAGAGGACTGGATTAAAAAAATGTGGTACATATACACGATGGAATACTACGCAGCCATAAAAAAGAACAAAATCATGAATTTCACAGCAACTGGATGGAACTAGAGTCTATAATACTGAGTGACCTCACACAGAAACAAAGATCAGAATATCACATGTTCTCACTCATATAATGGACCTTGAACATCCAATGTAATACTATAAGAAAATGACTAACGGTACTGGGAAACTATGGGGGGGAGGGGGAGGGGATTAACAGTAGCAAATATCTGTCTGGGGCTGGGAAAACACCTCTTATCAACAGGGTGTCTGAATGAAACGTAATTGTACACCTAACCCTTAACTGTACCCCACAAAACTATAATAAAAATACTGATTAATTATTAAAAAAATAAAAAATAAAAAAAATAAATCCTTGCCTAATCCTTGATGGAATTAGAAGTAGTTGAAATATGATACTATGCATTTCATTTCTTATATTTCATTTTCTTTGTTTTTCATTTTTAAAATGACAAAATAATACATGCTTATTGTAAAAAAAAAAAAGAACAAAGAATGAAAACCTCTATTTCTTTCATATTTCAGTCCCATTGCCTTACTAACATTTTGGTTTGTATCCCTCTAACTCTTTTTATTTGTGTTTACACAAGTTAATGTACACATGGATATATAAATAATTTTTTTAAAAGTTAAGTAGTATCATATTATAGATATTTTTCTTGCTTAGCCAAAATATCTTTAGATATGCCATTATTATTTCAAAGTTTACATAGTGTTTCACAGTAAGAATGTATTCTAATTTATTTAATCACTTCCCTAGTTGTGCTCCTTTTTCCTATAATAAACCTGTTAGGTTGTTGAGTGAGATTGTTTCCCTGTTGTCCCAAACTGTTGCTGAGGCCTGAAGCTGCAGACAAAAAGTTTAGGTGTAAGTATCTCATATTTGAAAGGAGTTCCCAGCAGTGAGAACCAGCCCTTTCTCTGTAGTACTTATTGAAAGGTATGAGAAGTGATTTCATTCCCACCCCCAGTTTTGTACAAAGAGAACTAAAAAGTCAGAAGGTTTTAAAGTGTGGGGAAGTACAAAGTTTGTAGCAGGAGTAGTTTCTTCCTTTTCTAAAATCAAGAGAAGAGTGGTGCTCTAGGGGAATTACTTGTAGAGTTTGCAAATACCAACAGGAACAAGACACTGGCATTTTATTGAACATCTATTAGCCAGTGGATTTGCTGCCCTACCCCCAGTGCTATCTGAACAGAGAAAAAGAAAACGGGAAAGCTGCCATGTAGGGAGTTGGGTCAGGATTCTGATTCCTACTCCAGAGTTCCATCTGCTGGTCTGTGCCAATTGGGTCTGTAGTGGAGGGGGATGAGATTGGGGTGTAGGTGAGCAACTTGGGAGAGTGTATGTATTAGAGGGATGTGGCATGAATGCTGCCAACCCACAGTCAGCTACAAGAGATGGCCATTGCTTTTCCCACAGGCTATCTGTTACTACCCAAGAACTGCAGTAAAACCTAGGTTCCTTTTGCAAGGCCATTAGTCAGTTTGGACAGCATTTTGCAGTTATATACTGTGTTTTTTAACAGAAGAAAAAAATATCAAAACAATTAGTTCAAAAGAAGTCATGCTAATAATATTGTCTTTAAACATTTAAGCTGTTGGATATTAAGTAATATCCAAATCGGTTTTTTTCCTGATGGCAGCCAGCACACATGAGTCCTTAGTTATAAGTGGGGTGAATATTCTTGTGTATCTGGTGTGTTTTCATCACTTCCTAGGAATGGTTACCAGCAGGACTAGGGTTTATCTAAGCATTGTTTCTACTCCTCAGGAAGTATAGGTAATTAAAAGGTCATTTTTAACAAGATAAGACTAAGCTTACTCTTTGTGCTAGTGGTAAGTATGAATTTTAATGTGCTAATGAGAATATTTATTTGGTTTAAAGGGTCTTTAATTTGGATAAACTGAAGCTTTTATTCAGACTATGTTAAAGGAATCATGTTTTTTTCTGAGTTGGTCATAACATAGCTATGTAGATTTTTTTGTGAGGGAGGAACAATTTTATCATTAAACTATAGAAGAATCATGATTATATTTAGAGTACAGAAATAAGGTATTGTGGTACTTATAAAATATTATAAGGACAGTGCATGTTAAGAGAATGACACGTCATTGAACAGTGACGTTTAAGAGCTGTTTTGGGGCTGAGTGTGGAAGCTCATACCTGTAATCCCAGAACTTTGGGAGACTGAGGAAGGAGGATTGCTTGCGGTCAGGAGTTTGATACCAACATGGGTAATATAGCAAGACCCTGTCTCTACACACACAAAAAAACTGTTTTGGGACAAGATTATGGATTATATTCAAATGAAAGTAAATGTCTTATCTTGTTTCATTTATATGTTTCTGGTTATTTTTCACTGTATCTTTGACATGATTATAAAGGTGTAATAGAACTATACATTTATTTTCTAATAACTGAAAAATGCTTTTAAGTTATTCAACCAGAGACATGGAAAATAGTGGTGTATTAATAAGTTTAAAATGTGAATCTTGAAGTTTAAAAGTTTACATATTGCATGGAACTTGTAGTTTCATGCTTTTGTGCTCAAATTTATGTATTTCTTTTTAAAAATGCTTTATTTTTCTCCTACTCGTTTTATAGGAAATGCCACAATCATCTTCTACAGTCACATTACCTAACACAAAGATAAGTAATATAGAGAATAATATACAGACCAATAAGATTCCAGTAGAAGAATTTGGCCAGATTTCTGGACCTAAAATCATCACGAAGGGGGCGCCAGATAAAGAAGAGGAAGCGATGAGCTGTTCTGAAGGTTGTTCTAGTGCCCAAGGCAAGTCATTCCAGGATGAGTCTCAAGGATCTCATCCTGAGTCTAGATCTGATCCTTCCAATCCCGAAGTGTTGAAGGCAAAGGCGCTTGATTCAGTTCTACAAGATTCAGAAGATGTAAGCAAGGTTAAGAGGACATCCTGCGTGTATGGGGCAAACTGCTACAGGTAAAATTAAATTGCATGTAGTATATAATTCCATTATTTCTCAAATAGCATGCAGCTATGTAGATACATGCTATAGTGAACTGAAAACCTAATAAAACTCAATGGCCTAAAGGCTAGAGGGTTTCTACTGGTTTGCAATTATTCAGAATGTTTTCTAGCAAATCATGGTAGAGGCTTTTAAGATATAGTGGGAATGAAATGTTTTATATGTAGACTTACTGACTAATGCAAGAATCTGAACATTAGGGAGTCTAGACTTGAAAATTGAATCCCTCAGACCTAAATATCTGTATATTTATTCTGTTATTAGATATTAGAGAGATGACTTCTTAAACAGTTGTATACAGTATAACTATTAAGATAATTTTAGATTGTGTTTAGACATCATATTATACTTGTACATTTTTCTTTATTTTTCTAATGCTGCTTTGGTATCATGGTACCTTCTAAAACAACTAAATAAATATTTCCTGGATTGATTGGTTGTTTCTATGCTTACTTCATTGAATTACATTGTATTGTATTTTCTAATTGCATATTTTGTGAATTCAGGTTATAATCTCTCAGTGTTTATAGTAGCATGCTTATAATTACAGACTATTTCAGAAGTATTTCTATGCCATTCCAACTTGTCAAATCAAGTATCTTACCCCAGAGCATTTCAGTAGTTTGTTGTCTTCTGTACTATCTAGTATATATACTCTGTTAATTTCACATTCATGTTGTTTCTCTTTAAAGTGCATTGCCATGTTAGCACTGGAATAACCATGTGTTTCATTTTCAGCAGTTCTTACTTATGAATTTATTCACAATTTTGTCTATTTGCAATGACTTTACTTCCACATCTGGAATATAACATAAGATCTTATAGGACAGAAGTATATAAACCTTCTATTACTTTGGATGTTGAAAAATCCTGTTTGGTATTTGTATTAGTTCTTCAGGGCTACCATACAAAATACCACAGATTGGGTGGCTTAAACAACAGAAATTTATTTTCTCACAGTTCCGGAGACTGAAGTCCTAGATCAAGGTGTTGGCAAGTTTATTTTCTCCTGAGACCTTTCTCCCTGGCTTGCAGGCAGCCACTTTCTCACTGTGTTCTCAGGTGGCTTTTCTCTGTTTGTACACCTTCCTGGTGTCTTTTCCATATCTTATAAGAACGCCAGTCATATTGAACTAAAGCCCCACTCTTATGACCTCATTTAACCTTAATTATCTCTTTAAAGGACCTATTTTCCAATACAATCACAAATGGGAATTAGGACTTCAACATATGAATTAGGGCTGGGGGGCTCAATTCAGTCCATGACACAGTTTAATAGCAAAAATGAATAATGATATCTCAATAGGGAAAAAAATGATTTGATAAAATTCAGCATCCCATTTATGAAAATTTTTTAGAAGTAGAGGAATAAGTAAGATTTCTTCGGATTAATAAAGAATACTTACAGAAAGCAACAGCTATGATCATACTTAATAGTGAAATATTGAAATTTCACCAATGATGTTGGGAAATAAATATGCCCATTATCACCACTTCTTTTGAACAGTGTACTAGAGATCGTAGCTAGTAAATATGGCAAGAAAAAGAAATAGCTAATATGGAATGAAAAGGAAGAAATAAAACTATAATTATTTTAAGGTAACCTGATTGTATAACATGAAAATTCAGAATAATCTTCAAACTATGAATTAATAGATGAAGCTAACATAATCACAAGATTCAAAATGAACTTTGAAAAATAAACATATTTCTGAGGCGACCTGAAGATGGCGACCGCATAGGTGGATCCCTGAGATTCTCCGAACGTGAGTTTCCCAAAAAGACTATTACTTTTCTTCCTGCACCCACCCCCCCACCCACCTCCAGCTGCACTGGTACGAGGCTTGGGGACTTTTGGTCCCATGCAGGGCCAGACATTGCGGCTGGACCACGGCTGCTCCACTATCTGTGATTCTGGCCGGCTGGGGAATTCCAAATCCTGGATCCCAGCTCCATCCCTGGCCACATCGTCGCAACCAGCACCCAACGCGAAGCTGCCAGTTATGCAGAGAGGCTCTGAACGCCTGCCCCTTAGAGATACCAGTCCCATTTCTGGCTAAAGTGCCCTGGGAGGGACCCAGAGCCACCACCTGCCCTCTGGAGCTTTGAAGATCGGAAGCCCCGGGCCCACCCTGGCTGAGGCACTCAGCGTGCACGACCACAAGCCTGTGTAAGGGGGCAGAACCCCAAGCTGGCATAAGGTGCCGATTGCAGGCTTCCAGCTCCAGAGGAGGGAACGCCAGACCCTCTCCTCCACCCCACCCGGCTGGAGGCATCCCAGATCCAGCGCCCAGCTGTACAGCTGGTCCTGCCTAGAGACCCACAGGAGCGCCCCTAAAAGTGAAAGTAAAACCACCACCTCCACCATTTTCAAGGCCTATTTACATCGCATCACCCTACCCACCTATCAGAGCCTCCACCTCGGTTCCCATGGTGACGTCATTAACAGGAGACAAAGCCCCTCCCCTATGCTGAATAGAGACTAGTGTCACAGATCTCCCAGGCAACAAGCTAACTGCTTGCAACAGAAACAGAGAAGAGAGGCTAGAGATTACATCTCAGGAACTTGATCCACTAAGGGGCGAGAGAGAAAAATCTACACAAATGAAGAAAAACCGAAAGAAGAATATGGGTCTCTCCCAGACTCCTGGGAGGGCAGACACTGAGAAAACTGACTTTGGAATGCAAACAATGAAGAACCCCCCCCCCCGAATGAATGGTCTCAAAATACAACCCTAGACATCAAGACATTAATGGAGAGATTAAAAAAAATTGAGGAGACTCAAGAAGAAACTAGAAAGGAGCTGATATCTGAGATAACAGTAATAAAGAATACTGTGAATGAAATAAACAATAAACTGATAAGCATGGAAAGCAGAATTACCCAAGCAGAAGAAAGAATCTCAGAGCTTGAGGACCAAAATATAGAACTAACCCAAACTCTCAAAAACACAGAAAACAAGCTCAAAAAGACAGAAAAAAAACCTTCAAGAGATGAGCAATTACCTCAAGAGACCTAACCTAAGAGTAATTGGTCTGCCTGAGGCAGAGAGACAGAGACCACATTGGAACAAACCTTCCATGAGATCATTCAATAAAATTTCCCTTATCTAATCAATGATGTAAAAACTCAAACACGAGATCCAGAGAACCCCTGCAAGACAACAAATGAGAAAACCAATTCCTAGACACATAATAATTCGCCTAAACAAAGTAGGCATAAAAGAAAAAATCCTAAAGGCAGCAAGAGAAAAAGGTCAGATTACCTACCACGGAAAACCAATTAGAATAGTAGCAGATTTATCTGCAGAAAACCTGCAGGCTAGGAGAGCTTGGAACCCTATCTTCAAAGTCCTAAAAGATAAACAATTTCAACCAAGAATAACCTACCCTGCCAGATTAAGCTTCATCAGCGAGGGAGAATTAAAATCTTTCCCAGATATCCAATCCCTAAGAACTTACGCTGCCACCAAACCACCTCTACATGAAACACTTAAGAAAGTACTAAACACAGAAGAAAAGCGGAAAAAAGAGCAACATTTTTCACAAGAGTACAGGAAAAAGAATAAAATACATATGAACCAACCCCAAAACCAAAAGAAAGACAATAAACCAAGTGGAAGAACAACTCTAAAAGAACTGCATGTTAGGGATGAACTCTCACATTTCAATAATTAACCTGAATGTAAATGGACTAAATGCACCACTGAAAAGACATAGAATGGCAAAATGGATAAAATATCACCAGGCAACAATATACTGCCTTCAAGAGACCCATCTCACTAGAAAGGACATGCACAGACTCAAAGTAAGAGGATGGGAAACAAATTTCCAGGTGAATGGAGCACAAAAGAAAGGAGGAGTCGTGATCCTAATTTCAGACAAAATGCCACTTAAGCTATCAAAAATTTAAAAAGATACAGAGGGCCACTATATAGTGATAAAAGGCTCACTCCATCAACAAGAAATATCTATCCTAAACATATATGCACCTAACATAGCTGCACCAACTTTTATAAAGCAACTCCTAGGAAAATTAAAGAAAGATATTGACTCTAACACCATCATAACCAGGGACTTTAATACCCCACTCACAACCTCAACAGATCATTGGGACAAAAAATCAGCAATGAGATTCGGAACCTCAATGTGACTTTGGACCAAATGGACTTAATTGATACCTACAGAAGACTCCATCCAAAGACCACAGAATACACATTCTGCTCATCACCACATAGGACGTATTCCAAGATCGACCACATTATCAGCCATAAATCAAGCATAAGCAAATTTAAAAAGACCAAAATTCTACCATGCACCTTCAGTGGAATAAAAATAAACATTGACACCAACAAGGTCTCCTCAAAACCCACAAAGACGTGGACACTAAACAGCATGATGCTAAACAACTCCTGGGTCAATGATGAAATGAAAACAGAG